AGTGCTCAGCTGCGCTGGGAGGGCAATTACTATACTGGCTCCGTGATCTTTTAAAGGAAAAAAAAAAGTCCATTGCTTTCAAGAATGTCTAAATCAATTACATGCCAAAACCCTCCACATATCGAGCTAAGGAGCCAGTCCGCCCTTGCAGGGGCATCGGAGCCTTAAAGTCCGATGTAAACTGACCTGGTTTAATATTGAGACTCTTTCAGAGAAGTGAAGTTTGCGATATTCTTCTAGATAATCCCTCCTAGGAAGAAGATGGTTTATACACTCTGACACACAAGATCATAACTTTCCTTGGCATAACAGCTAGAGATAAAATAATTAAAATAAAGTGACAGCCGTTTCTGCACCGCAGAGTCACCGGGTAGCCAAAGTCAAGCATTTTAAAGCCCCATTTCTTTCACTGGAGAAGAAACCCTCCAGGGAGTTGGAGAGTTTCACTTCGCTTGAATCGCGCCCTGCGAGCGTTTAGGATGAGGACGGAAGGAGAACCAGGGCCAAGGAGAGAACCGTTTCAGTGCCCTGGCAGACAATAATCGGGTTTCTGAAGGGACGATCCAGGTCTGAGTCGAGAAGCGCCCAATATGTCAAAGTTGGAATCAAAACCCTAAGTTTCCCCAAAAAACTGCATTCTGCCTTGATGACGATCCCATACCTTCAGTATTTGCTAACAACTCACAAACGCAAATTTCTCTATTATTTCATGTCAATAGCCCACGCCGCCACAGAATGAACGACGCAATTTACATTTAATCCGTGATGACCTGTAAAGCTCGCCTCTTCGGTATCAGATTTGTCGCTATCAAAGGCATCTTTATTTTTCGAAACAGATAGGGGCTTAGGATGTGAACTTCGCCCGGTGTTTTCTGGCGTTGAAGCGTCCAGTGGCGACAGCACCGACTGTATAAGCCTCGGGTCACGAAGAACACTTCGGGCGCAAAGGACGCGACTTCTAAAGGGGATTCGGGGATTCCAGTGGCTTCAGGGTCTGCGGTCAGCGTTGATCTCTCCTGGGAGGAAAGGGTCCCAGAGCCGGCGCCGCTTTCCTTTTCGAAGCAAATGGGGATTTCCAAAGGGTTTCTGACAGAAAGAGGATAGAAAGAGGACAGGAAGCCAAGGGCCACACCTCTTTCCCAACGCCCCTCCTTAAGGCACGTTGGATTTGAAGGAGTGAAGGAGGCTTACATTCCTGTCTGCGCTTCCTTGGGACTAAGCCTCATTTGGCAAATGGGACCTTCTGAGCCCCAATATGGATGTATATGAGTATTTATGGGGCAGACTGCCCCATAAACACTCATACACCCCGTAATAACTGGCCAAGTATAGCCAACCATGTATTGACCAACCCCATGTTGGCCAACCGTGTATTTATCAGGATCACCCTTGCTCAGCGGAACAATTATTTCCCTCCAGCCATCCCGGGGCCCCTACATCGGAAGGTGCAGCTCGATGCTGTGCACCTTTACTGGGAAATAAGTTCCGGCGTGCTCAGTGGAGCCTACTCCCGAGTAAATGTGGACAGCACTGTATCGCATCTCTCCACCGAGTATTGGCTCAGATCCCAGCACCTACAAGGCTAGCCTGTCAAAGGGTTCTTAGACATATTTCCCCCCCTACATGCAACGGAGGAGTTTTAATTTTCCGGGGGAGAGGTCCAAAGCTCCCTCTAATCTGTGGAGTCTTGTGAGCAAAAATTCTACTTTGTGGGCTACTGGCATTAAAGTTGTGAGTGAGCAATTTGTTTACTGCATAAATTAGTGGGGGTGGGGGGGAGAAGTCTCACTGAGACCAATGGAATTTATTCTCAGGTAAACAAGTGGAGAAGTGAGGCGGTAAAGAATAGAGCCACGACGCTGGTTTGAGTATTCTTTGAGAGCGCAGCTTACTTTCTATCCCAGAATCCCCCCTCCCACTCATCTCGGCGGCGGGGGGGGGGGAATGACCCAGGGGAGGAGGGGTGGCCAAGCGGGTCAAGAAAAAAAAACCCTCCCCCCCCTCCCGGCGGGGGGGGGGGGGGGAATGACCCAGGAGAGGCGGCGTGGCCAAGAGGGTCCAGAACCGCTCCGATTGTGCATGAAGCCCTTGTCGGCCTACTGAGTGGCAAAGGCCCCTCAGGCCCCCCAAGGGGTGCAGCCCCTTCATACTTCATACTTGTTGAAGTATGAAACAACAAGTGAGAAGCTCAGAGCGCCAGATGTTGAGGGCCAGCCTGATCACCAGAACCAAGTGGAGAAGCTTTTCCGGGACTCTTCGGATTGTGGGAGGTCCGTGTTTGAATCTGAACATCCAGCGTTTGGACATCTCCAATGTTCCCTCTAAGATGAGTTAGTGTGAGCTAGCTCACAGTTTTTTGGCCTCCAGTTCACAGATTTTTGTCTTCGCTCAGGAAGGATGGCTCCAGAGCAAACTAATTTATGCAGTAACCAAATTGCTCGCTCACAACAACATACCTCAGCAAGCCACGTGCAAGCCTTAAAGCCCAGCCAACAAACACATGAGTGTGATCTCATTGAAGGAAGTCTCATTAATATCTTGCAGAACTCCGTAAACTGTCCGTGCTCCAACATTAATCTGCTTCACATCCGAATTCTTGGCCTGTTTAGAAGTCAAGAGGTTAAGAAAATATCTGGTAAACATTCCCCAACAATCTGGCGGCTGTTCCCTCAGGTGGCCTAAAAACTCCACTTTGGCGTTAGCTTTAATCAATAAAATCACATCCGCTAACACTGCGAAGGGGTGAGACGAGAAGATCCAGCCAGAAACTATCATGGGTGCGAAGTGTTTTTCATCAGCAACTGAACAGCATCTGACTGCTTTGTTACAGATTCTCCTGCCTGCAACTGACACCCAGACAAGCCCCAGGACTGTTCAATGGGGGCTTTAAACCTCTTGACCCCAGTTTGGTGTAGTGGTTGAGAGCCAGTTTGGAGTAGTGGTTAAGTGTGCGGACTCTAATCTGGGAGAACCGGGTTTGATTCCCCACTCCTCCACTTGCACCTGCTGATGTGACCTTGGGTCAGTCCCAAATTCTGGCACAGCTGTCCTTGAAAAAGAGCAGTTTGTGTCAGAGTTCTCTCAGCCCCACCCACCTCACAGGGTGTCTGTTGTGGGGAGGGGAGGGGAAAGGAGTTGCGCTATCTAGACCGGTTTTCTGATTCCACCATTTGAATTAAACCGGTGTCAGTTCTGCAATTTAAACAGGTTTCACGGTGGAGTCCTCCACAGAGTTACAGCCCCTTGATGCTGGACGTAGAAGGGTGTGCGACTCTTCTGCTCAGGACGGCTTCGTACGTTCTGGAAATTCTGTCGGGGTCATTCAGAACTGAGCCCTGCGTCGGTCGCCGTCTACGCGTCCCCTTGGTATGCTGGTTTCAGTTCTGAACCCAGCAAGGCCAGTTCCTCATGCCCAAGACAGAGTGGCCCGCTGAGTGATTTCGGTCTGCGTGCCAGTGCCACCCCTTCCTTCCGCACAGTCACTGACAAAATATTACAGTCCGCCCCTAACTATGCCCTGAAAAGTGCGTAGGGGAGGGGGAGGGGTCTAGGTTTAGCTCCCCTGCTTGCAAAGAGGACAGAATCCTCACTCGAGGCAAGTCCGGGGCTGCTACGGAGAGGCAGGCAATGGCAAACCGCTTCTGAACGCCCCTTGAAAAGCCCAGGGGGTCGCCACAAGTTGGCTGCCGGTAACTGTGCCCTGAGAAGTGCGTATGGGGAGGGGTGGGTGGAATCCACGTTTAACTATCACAGATGCAATGAGGACAGAATCCTTAGAGAAAAAACATTTGGGGTGATGGTGACTTCCTATTGGGTGTTACAAGTCAAAACACTTCAGTATTTACAGGGTTAATTATGATCAAACAGCAGGAAGTCACATGTTTGTTTGTAACCAATCTGTTTAGACAATATGTTGGGTGATAGTGAGATATTGAAAAAATGGTATTTAGCAGAGATAATATAGTCCAGCAGAGCCAAAGTAAAATAATTCAGACTGAGAGTCCATGTGTGATTAAAATATAAAGTTTTTACTAAATTCTAGCATGGGAAGGGTAACTGGGATGAAAATAACAACAGAGCATAATCGGCTACATCCTTTCACTACAAAGACAAAACTAGAAGAGAGAGAGTATGGCTACCCTTCTTCTTCTTCAGAACATCAAAACAAAGATGGGAAGAGAAGCCATAAAATGCTAATACACCTTGACACTTTAGTCCCAATCAAATACCTAGATTAGGGAGAACATTCCCAGGTATTCTACATCTAAAGAACATTGGTTACATGAGAAACATGTGACTTCCTGTGAGTAACATAAACAAACATTTAACCCCAGGTATACTGAGTGTTTTCAACTTGTAATACCCAACACCCCTTCTCAAGTTATAACACGAAAGTCATGCAAATTCAAACATTCACGAAGAGTTTCAAAACATTGTTTGTCAAGCGGCTGTCGGCAATCACCTGATTAGTAGGACAGTATTGGAGTTCAGTCAGTC